CCAGGACTAATCTGCTGATCTATGATCAGTTCTCCAGATCCAAATCTTCTCCTTATCTTGTCAACCCCAGATTAGCCGCTGCAGTCGTTAACATGTCTGCTCTCCTCGGCACGGTCTTACCTGTGCCTTTCCTGAGCTCACAAAACACTGAAAACATTGCCAGAGACAGAGAGTACCGGAAATTCTGGCCACAAATCATGGATAAATGAACCCTACAAACACATACAAACCAATGTGGAAAAACTCATTCTGCGGAAGCAAAAAGGAATGCACAATAATAATTTTCAACTCTCAGCTCATTGTTTTGTATATACAGTGTAACAAACCACAAGGCACCTGATCCAGCATTCATTATGAGCGCGCGTGTGTCCACATCAGTGTGTGTTGAAAGAGAAGACAATGGTATTTGTCAGTCTACATCCTATTTTCCTCATTTGGTCATTAAGCCACAGACAAGTTCACCTCACGACCTGTGTGTGCAAGGAATTAACACTCGCACACTGAAAAACACCTCCTGGGTTCCGGAGGATTCCAGCGGTATGGGAAAAACAGGAAAAATCTGCGCTTTCCTTCCTGCCCAACGACCCTGTTTGTATGACAGTCAGTGGCTCAGTGGCTCCGTCTCATTGTCTCGGTTATGGTTACATCACTACAGTTCTGCATGCATTGGGGGGTTACATTGTGAATGGAGATTACTGTCATTGTTTTCTTTTAGATTAGTCCCTCTATCTGCATTTAAAAAACATAAATAAATAAGAACAGCCTTGTCATTGCAAAAATATAGATACTTTCTCTGTTCCAATATGTAGTGAAATGCCTCACTACACTCTAACTGTTGATTCACAAAAAAGCTTTTTTGTGTTTCAAAGGGCAGAGGAGTTCCTGTAAGTTTTTTATTTAATTTTTTTAAGTTTAATTTCTTTTAAAATAAATGCCACATTTTTACAATGGGGTGTCATGTACGAGATTAGAGATAAGATGCGAGGTGTGAGCACTAACACGTCTATCTTCCGCATGTTTACACAGAAGCAGGGCAGAGAAATGATAAAACACACTAAGTGTGAACAGCCTCTAACAGTAATAGCGATTTGGAACTTTCTACACAGGAAGCAACTTTGAGCCACAAAAGCCAGACTTGCTATTCATTTCAATGGACATTAGCATGATGCTACGCTAAAGGCCCGTTCACACGAAGGACGATAAATTAGGGTGACCATACGTGCCATTTTTCCCCGGACGCGTCCTGGCCAGGATTTGTTTTGGCTTTGTTTTCCTGTTTTCATGCTTGCTGAAGGTAATGAAAAGTAGTTTGACCAATAACATGAAAGCATTGTACATAATGGACCAATCATGGCGTGTGAGAAGGTGGGATCTACGGTCAAAACGATGCAATTACGGCGTACATATTAGGTGTGTTCGACTTAAAAGCAGTGCGGCTCAGACCGATCAGTGTTTGACATCAAAGTACCTCGAGAGCATTTCGAAAGCATAACCGTCTGTATGGTACTTTGATGTCATACACCGATCGGTCTGCACACGCAAACAAAGCCAAAACCTATATTTTAGGCAATATAGAAATCCTGGCCAGGACACGTCCTGGAAAAATGACACGTATTGTCACCCTACGATAAATATAACAATAACTATAAACTATTGCTAATCATTTTAATTCTATGAGAATAGGGAAGTCCACACCAAAGCGACTAAAGAATGTCATTGTTGGAATCACTTTAAGAGCAATTTTTGTCAGCTAATGACCAATAAAAACATTCACAGCACTTGTGCACAAGTGCTTGCTATTTTTGTTCACTACTTTTTGGTACTGAATCAAGTTTTTTTTATGTTGATTATTGCAAAGCATTTTAAGATTGCCTTAACTGTTAAAATGACATGTTATGCAGCCTTTGAATTTGGCTAAAAAGGTGTTTCTGGAGGAAGCATAATTTAGAACAACCTTCAGCGCACTAGATTTTGGAAACGAGAAAGTGTCTATGCTTTAGCAGTGGCAGGGTTTTTTTCTAAATAGAGATAAAGGGATTAATCTGAAAAGAAAACAATGACAGCTGTTTTTTTTTTCTTATCATGCATCACAAAAATATGATTGAAAGTAGATTAGGCCTAGAATAATGTACAGTACATTAACACACAGGCACGTATAATTCTATTGAATACTGTTGTAATATATCTTACATACAGCAGCATACTATATCATTTATCTGAAACATAAAGGCCATGCAAAACCTGTACAAAAACATGTGCCATTTATGTTGTAAACAAATGCATGAACATAACGAAACGAAACTAACAGCTTAAGAGGTGAGTAAGTATGATGTTTCACTCAACTGGCTGCATAACAGCAGGCACTTATCAGAGACCGATCAAGCCTGAAGAGCATCAGGAAGTGAATCTCAGACCACCTGGTCTAAGAGGAAGTCAACAAAGCCGCCTTGCAAGCTGATTGACGTCAATCACAACCCACCGCACCTGACAGGAACTCCTACTGACTGCATTTCTCATGCTCTTTGCTTCAGTATAATGCCACTTATCTTCCACATTACGCATTGAAGACCCGGTCCCTTCTGCTGTAGGCCGGACTCAATGCTGTTTGACCTGATTATTGACGTTACAAGTGCGTTTTACTGAAACTACTCAGTGTTACATGGAGCTAAACTCCTGTGCCCTTTACACTTTTTCCTCCTGAAACAAGAACATAAACGATACACACACAGACAATATATTATATCCTTTCTCTTCCACTCTATTTGATTTTTCAATCTTTCCTAGAAACATATTGATTGTGAATGCAGCATCCTAATTACAACCACCAAACCAGACTGTACAGGTCAAACACCAGCAATCTATAGTCTTTGTACAAACAGTTAAACTTTTCCATATGCTTTCAAGCATATATATATATATTTTATGAAATTTTCCCCCAGAGTGCTTTCTGAAGTTCCTAAGCATGTTTTATTTAGGGGGGCTTTGTTATCTTTTATTTATACAGATAGTAGAGAGAAGGAACGTAATTGTTTGAGGAGAGAAAATGTGAACAGGACGCGAGCCAGATTCGAACCTGTCTCCTCCAAGTGAGTGCCAAGGCTCAACGTGCCCGTTACAAATTAGCCCATATTTTCTCTACCACTTAATCCTTTCTTTTTTTACACTGCAAAAATAATTTCTATTATTTCTTTATTAGTTGTGTGTCATTCCTTTGCGCCATCTCTGCGCCAACTGAAACACGATGCATAATGTCAAAGCAAAGAGCATATTTCCACATTAAAGAAGAATGAAAGAAGCTCTATTCAAGCCTGTGGATTTTGCAATATATTTTTTTCTTAAGTGAATCATGGATTTGATGTGACACTCCTCTTTAATACAGACGTATTATTATGATATCACAGGGTGTGTCCTCTTTTCCTTACATCCGTAGAATTTCCCTGCAAGCTCTTCTGAACTGGGTTGCCCTTGGACAGACTAGCGAAGAGCCCAACAAAAGCCTCTAACAGTGCGGTACAATTGCCCTGACGTAGATCCATGGTTATTTGGAAGGGCGAAATAGTTCTTCCATGAATAACACCAAGTAAACACCTTTTTCTCCCATTTACCCTCATCGCTCAGGTGGAAAAATGGAATTTAGGGGCATGTGGAAATCTTCTCCATAGGCAAGTGATTTTTGGCGGGGATTTGAAATCTTGAAAACTGGTGACATGTTAAGTGGAAAATGGCTGTTGTGAAATGTCAGTGTGCATGGGTGGTCGAGTCCGCAAAACAAATGATTGGAAAGACTACCCTCTTGTGGTTGGTCTTACAAACAACAGAGTGGACTGTAAAAAAGAAAAGAATTAAAATGTCTATATATAT